TCAATGGTTTCGACATCTATCAATCATTTTATGGATTGAACAGACGTTTGACAGCTATTGTTCTCTCGACTATGGAATCACATATCGATCTGCGCGAAGTTATGTCAAACGAATACATTCAAGTGAGTCAATCATCGAAGTAATTCACGTATCATCAAAGATAATCACTTAAAGCGTAGATGTTACATTTAGTTAATCCATCACACGTTATTTCTCTCAAATTGGCAAATAGATGGGATAGAAATCAAATTAATTCAGTCATTCGTATTTATTCAATAGACACCTTCACGCAGGTTCGATCTTTAACATTTGATCTACTAAATATAACTAATCTCGAAGAAATCGTAGATATTTTACCATCGTTAACTTCTCTTGTATCTTTGACAATCACTTCCAACGAAAATCCACCATCGAACATTTATTCAAAATTATTCTATCGTCTTCGTCATATTAAACGACTTCGTTTAATCTCTCTCAGGGGAAAATTGGCTTGTTGGGGTAATATTGATATTCGTCAATGGCGTCTTGATACACCTTACAATTTTCGACATTTGCAAATCAATCCATTAAACTTTTCTCACTTTAGCCTTTTATTTCCTTATCTTCCACATCTTCGTTCGATTGAAACGAGTCTTTGTTTTGGTACGACTTCAATTCCGTATTTGCCAAATTTACGTTCGTGTATTCTCTATTTTGGTTTTTACGGCTTTCCCGAACTTAGTGATTTCTTTCGACAATGTCCTAATCTGAAAATACTCAAACTTGAAACAACAGGTATCGATGTCGTGAATGGTCAGCAATGGGAAAATATCCTCACACGCGCATTACCTCGTCTTCAACATTTTAATCTTCTCGTGGAGTTTATGGGAGATTATGATGTTGAAAGTTGTAGAACTTCTTTTCAAACACAATTTTGGATTCAACGTGCTACACAAGTGAATTTAGTTGAAAGTCATATGCACATCGCACCAGATGACATTCGTACAGTTTATCAAATGACAATCGATTTCGATTAGCAAAATCAATATCAATCTTACAACTAAAATAGCTTCCATGTTTTTTCTTTAATAATTCTCTATTTTGTGCTATTCGTTTGATCATCTTACAAAACAATATCGAACATGTGTGGTTTCCTGCTTATAGTCTGATGGCAAACATCGCGAGTATTAATATTCTGTTGTATACACTGATTCTTCAGAACGACAGAGAATCAATTATCAAGTAATCGTGAATATTCATACGCATTGGATAGTAAGTTTTTCTGACGAGAGGAAAAGCATTTCCAATGTGAGGATGCAAACAGAAGGATAACATCCTCACCTACGTTTTATATTTATTGAATTAAGTCATAAGACAGTCCGATTTGTTTGAACTGCCTTCTCGTAATATTCCAGTGCTTTGGAATATTCGCTCAGTCTTGTGAATGTTAAGCCTATCTTAAAATAAATCTTGGCTAGACTGGGATGAGTCGGTGGCAGAGTTTGTTTCTGAATAGCAAGTGTCTGGTTGTAGTTTTCAAGAGCTTTTGAGTGTTCACCCATGTTGAAATACACATCTGCGATGTTAGTGTAACAGGTAGCTATGTTAGGATGAGTCGATGGAAGAGTTCTCTGCAGAATTTCGAGTGCTTTGTCATAGTTCTCCAGAGCTCGTGAGTGTTCAAGCATATATGAATATATGGAACCTATATTGTTATAAGTTTTAGCTAAATCTGGATGAGTTGATGGCAACATTTTCTGTTGAATTTCAAGTGTCTTGTTGTTGTTCTCAAGAGCTCTCGGATATTCGCCCATTTGAGAATACACTAAACCTATATTGCTGTACAAGCTAGCTAGGTTAGGATGGGTTGACGGAACGGTTCTTTGTAGAATATCCAGTGCTTTATGATAGTTTTCTAGAGCTCTTGAATGATGACCCATATCAGAATACACTAAACCAATATTGTTGTAAGTGGTGGCGAACTTTGGATGAATTCCCGGTAAAGCTTTTTGTAGAATTTCAAGCACTTTGTCATAGTTTTCAAGAGACCTCGGACGATCGCCCATGGCAAAATAAACCAAAGCTATATTGTTGTAAGTCGTACTAATAGCCGGATGATTCCATGAAAAAACCTGTAGTTGAATTTCAAGTGCTCGATTATAGTTTTCCAGAGCTCTTGGATATTCGCCCATAACATAGTATACCACACCTATGTTGTTATAAGCTGTAGCGAGATTGGGATGCACTCGTGGTAATGTTTCAAGTAGAACTTCGAACGCTTTCTTATAGTTTTCGAGAGCTCGTGGATGTTCACCCATGTTGGAGTACACGCTGGCAATGTCATTGTAACTCTTAGCTAAATTGGGATGAGTTGGTGGAAGAGCTTTTCGTTGGATTTCTAACGCTTTCTTGTAGTTCTTCAGAGCACGTGAATGATCGCCCATATCAGAATATGCCATTCCTAGGTTGGTATAAGTACCGCCCAAAGCAGAATGAGTTGGCGACAGAGCTTTCTGACGAATTTTCAGTGCCTTGTGATAATTTTCCAGTGCTCTTGTATATTGGCCAATAGCGGAATATACGATACCTATGCTGTTGTAAGTGGTGCCCAAATCTGGATGTGTGGACGGTAGAGTTTTCTGTCGAATTGCTAGTGCCTTTTTGTGAGTTTCCAGAGCTCTCGTGTATTGGCCCATAGCCGAATACACTGCACCCATATTATTGTACGTACTTGCTAAATCAGGATGCATCGGTGATAGAACTTTTTGTTGAATTTCGAGAACCTTCTTGTATTTTTCAAGAGCCCTGGCGTGTTCGCCCCTATTGAAATATACACTGGCGATGTTATTATAACCCTTGGCTAGCTTGAGATGGGTAGGTGGTAAAGTTTTTCGATAAATAGCAAGAGCCTTCTCGTAACTTTCAAGAGCTCTTGAGTACTCACCCATGTCAGAATGCACCGTACCTATGTTGTTGTAACAGGTGGCTATGTTAGGATGAGTCGATGGAAGAGTTCTCTCCAGAATTTCGAGTGCTTTGTCATAGTTCTCCAGAGCTCGTGAGTGTTCACGTATGTGTGAATACACTGAACCTATATTGTTATAAGTTTTGGCTAAATCTGGATGAGTTGGTGGTAGAACTTTCTGCTGAATTTGAAGTGCATTGTCATAGTTCTGAAGAGCCGTTGAGCGATCGCCCATTCGAGAATACACTAAACCTATGTTGCTGTACAAGCTAGCTAAGTTAGGATGGGTTGACGGAAGGGTTCTTTGTAGAATATCCAGTGCTTTATGATAGTTTTCTAGAGCTCTTGAATGATGACCCATATCAAAATACACTGAACCTATGTTTTCGTAGCGCGCAGCTAAATCTGGGTGGAATTCGGCGAAAATTTTTGTTTGAATTGCGAGAGCTTTGTCGTAGTTTTCAAGAGCTTTTGTGTATTGTACATTTATGTAATATTGCTGTGCAGCATTGATAAATTTGGCAGCTAAAATGATGTAATGGCACATGTTTAACCGCTTTAAGTCCGACTATTGTCGGACAAATCTGTTGCATGAGACACACTATTCGAAGTTGCTCTGAAATCTAGTGAAGCTTTGACATTTCTAAAGAATGTGCATTCATACTACGAATAGACTGTTGAGTAACTCTCTATAAGCGACACACAGTATTTTTATACTGTCTCCAGAGATCTTGTTCGTAGGTAGAGTAACATCATGAATAGACGTTTCAGAAGGTATGAGAAAACCTCACCTTGTTTGAGTTGTGAAGAACGTTCAATATGCTTCCATGTTTGAACAATAACTAATGGAAGACTGATTACACCAAGAAGAACAATAATGCTGATTAAAATCCGGTGGTAAATGTTTAATGATTTTTTCCATATTCGATTACTCCAATAGGATTGATTAGCATCAACTTGCTTTTTATTGTGCACGAATACTGACGAACTCGTTGACGTTTTACTTTCTGTAGGTGTGCAGCGATCAGATTTATCAAACATCAATGCTACTAAAACAAATAGTCGCTTCGGATGTAGAGGATTGTTTGCTACTGTTACCAACCAGTATGTCCAATCTTATCTTCTTCATTGTCGCGTGGTAAAACCCCTTCAATCGAAACAGTTCTTTGATTTCCATTCGCTTGATAATCTGCAATGAATCAAATTCTTCGATGGTGGCGAAAGTAAGATTAGGAGCGAACTCGCCTTTTAATCGTTTGGCAGTATCATAACAGTGAATAATCATGAATATTGTGATGAAATAATCATAGTCCTGATCACTTATGGTGTTCTTTTCGAAAAACGCCTCAAGCGCGCGGAATGCTTCACCAATTGGAGAGTTTTCACTCAAAATTTGTGAAGGATCATCACCGAGAAGAAAATTCAATCGTTGTCTATCTTCATCCGACACGAGATCTTCTATCTTACTTAGAATAGCTCGATACTCAAATGATGCAGTCATATAAGA